ATTTTCAATTCGTAAATCAAAAATTTATTAAAATAAATTTTAATTTAAAAATTGCAGTAACAAATTAAAAAATAAATTTTTCAAATCAAAAGCTGGAATGAAAAGTATAAAAAATTAATATTAAATTAACATATTTCTAATTGCAAAACTATAATTAAAAGTAATTATATGTAAATCAGACAAAGCTGTTAAAATCTGTTGAAATCTTTTTTATATAAGCTAGTTTTTACAAAAATAAACAAAATGCTAGAACACGAAGTAGCAAGCGCGTAGTAATTTAAAATTCAAAAAAGCAATTTTTTTAATTATAAACTAGGAATAAAATTTTTTTTAACATTTTTTAATTCGGTATTTAGAACTAAAATATTAGCTTTAATTTTTGATCCTATTTTTGGGCATTGCATTTTTTTAAAAAATTTTCAATTCGGTATTTAGGTTTAGAAATTTGAAAATTATTTTTGATTTAGATTTTTCGAATTACAAAATAAAAAAAGAATTTAAATATCTTTAGCTAATAAAACAAATATTTAAATTATAATATTTTTTTTTTAATTTTTGATTCGGTTTTGGGATTAAAGTTATAATTTATAATTTTTGATTCGGTTTTGTGATTAATTATTATAATTTTTTTAATTTAGAATCTGATATTTGGCATTAGAAATTTTATAAATATTTTTAATTGAGCTTTTCGGTATTAAATTTTTTTTAAACCGATTTCTTGATTAGAAATTTGAAAATTACTTTTGATTAAGATTTTCGGGATTACGAAATAAAAAAAAACTCAATTTAAATGCCTTTCGACTTTTCGCCGAAGGTTAATTGGGCGTATGAGGCTTTTTGAGCTAAGCCCTACTCACCTGCAGCTCTTGGTCGTATTGCTATTCGCAGCTAATCAACTTAATGTAGGCCGTTCACTATCCGCCAGCTGTGACCCCCGGTAGTAGCATGAGCTCAGCTCTAACAAAGCTAATACTTTTTTTTTGAGTTTTTAATCCGGTTTTGTGATTAGAAATTCGAAAATTATTTTTTAAATAGAAATTTTCGGGTTTAAATTTTTTAATCTGGCATTAGGGGTTAGAAATTTGAAAATTATTTTTATTTCAAATTTTCGGCATTAGAAAATAAATAAAATTACTTTAAATGCTGATTCAATTGTATTTCAATGTATTATTGGCAACCCTGTATGCATATATGTATGTATATATATATTTTTTTTTAATGTTTAGAAAAGTGCTGATTAATCAAATTTTTTTTATTCACTATACAAGTATTTAAACGAATTAAGTGTTTATTGTAGTAGAAATAAATTTTTTTTATTTAATATTAATAAATTTTTCAAAATATTACATTAACTAAATTAATTAAGTAAAAGAACTGCCGTCATTTTCATTTTTTTTTTAACTACCACTTCATAAGTTAACGATGCAAAAAAAAATTGTTAATGTAAAAAAATTCGTCTATATTGTGCTAATATTTGAGTGAAAAGTGCAATTTCAAAAATTTATTTAGGTATATACATAAAATTTTATAGGTTTTTCAATTAAAATTAATTCTTTTGCAACACAGCATTTGTGTATGCATTTAAGAGGCTAACAAAAGTTTTCCGAAGCAAAACGAAATTAACGAAATACATATACACACATACATATGTGTAAGTAAGGAAGTTTAATATAAAAACATTATATAACATATAAAAGTAAGCAAAAAATAAAGATAAAGAACAAAAATAATTTTTACAAAAAAAAAAAAATAATAATAATTAATAAAAAAATATTTAATAAAAAAAAATTTGAATAAAAAAATTATTTAAAAAAAAAAATAATAAAAAAAATTTCGTAATAAATAATTAGTAATCGAAAGAATTTCTTAATAAAAGAAATTATTAATAAAAAGAAACTTTTTTATAAAAAAAAGTTTTTAATAAAAAAAATTTATTAATAAAAATTGATTAATAAAAAAGCCATTTTAATATTAAACACTGACTTTGACTGTTTTTTCTTAGAAACTAAATTTAGTAATTATAAAAAATTGAAATATATAAATTAAGTAAACCTACCACATGTATTGGCCATTTCACGTTAATTATTTTCGTAAAATTCTAGACTTCAAAATTTTTGAGACTTTTCCAGTAATAAAAAATTAAATATGATAAAAATTTTGTAGAAAAAAATATAAAAAATGTATGTAGTAAAAATTACATATATTTAATATAAAAATAATAAAAATAAAAAAACTGAACGTTGCAGCCTATAGCGTGTAGGGAAACACTGAGAGAGAATAGAAAGAGAGACTTTTTTTGCAAAATAATTAAAAAACTTGCAAACATTTCAACTTCTTTAGACGTCTGAACGAGATGCAATTGATGCACACACACACACACATACATATATAAATGGAGTTGTAAATTGATTTAGCGGATTTTTCAATAAAGTTGGCTAAGTTAGCGGGGGGCAATAATGCAAAACGGCTGTGAATTGCTTTGTAATGTGCGCCAGCATAATTAAAGAGACTGGAGCGAGTAGTGAGAGAAAAATTTCAATTAAAGTGAGAAGTATGTATATGTAAGAATTAAGAGAAAAGAACATAACTCTCACACGCAAAGCAATGTTAAGTAAAGTATTGTTTGTGTTAAGCAACGGGCGTGCGTTAGCTACGCAGCAGCAAATTGTGGGCGGGGCAGTAGAGTACTGAAAGAAATACTGCATTGATTATAAAAGAGATTATAATAGGTGTAAGCGCTATATGGTAGCACCGTTATAGGGAAGCAATGTAAATTTGGATAAAAGTCAAGCAAAAGTTTATATAAAAAATAAATAAAAAATCATGATTTAATGATAGAGACTAAAATTTGCATGTATATAGTTAAGAAAAGTTAGCATTAGTTATGCGCAGGCGTGTAGTAACGCTGCATTTTGACATAAAAAGCATAAAAATCAAGCGTTTAACATATTTTCTCATAAACATAATTAAATATGCCTTTCCACGCGCAATTGCCAAGCAGTAAAAACATGTAAAGCTGAGTGCATAAGTGGTTTATTTGCAAAAAATTAAAGTTAGACAACAAAAATGTATAATACAATAAAATAATTTTTTTTTTAAATTGAAAAGAATATTCCACACATGTAAAGCTGAGTGCATTTACAAAAATATAAAGTTAGAAAACAAAAATGTTTAATAAATTTTTTTTTTTTATATAATAAAAATTTATTTTAATAATAAAAAAAAAAGATTTAAAATTGAAAAAAAAAATTTTTTTTAATTCAAAAAATAAATTGTAATATTAAAAATTATTATATAAGCAAAGAGTCTGTTTTGTGGGAAGAAAAAAAAATGTATGAGCAGGCTTTTCAAGCGTGTAAATTGTACGTAGGGAATTAATTTCAACCACCTACAATATAATCTAAACCTAAAAGCAAAAAAACAAAAATAAAAAAACAACAACAATTAAGATACAACAAATATTAAACGCCTCTATCCTAAACTTGTAAACACTTAGGTTAAATGTTCATTTTTAAAAAATTAATAATTAATTCAACCTTACGCAACCACAAAACACAAAATTATATTAAAATATTTATATATCAAAAAAAACAAAAATCCAAATAAAGCAAGCACTTTTAAAACGCGTGTTGTAAAAAGTATGCCGTTAGCGTGTCATGAACCAAATGGAAATGCAAACAAAGTTGACAAAGCAAATAAATGTGAAAAAATCTACCTTAAGCAACCTTTTAAACCATAAGCACCTGAGAAAAATTTTCTTGTTAAAATAAAATTAAAAAAACAAAAACAATGCAACAAAAATCATGATTGAATCTACTAGTGAAACAGCGCTAAAACCGTAAAATTTTTAAAGCAAACCAAATTTATTGAAAGCTAAACGAAGTATTATGAAGCAAAAAAAAACACAAAAAAAAAATCAAAAATGCAAAAAACCAAAAAGTAAAAAGTAAAAACCAAAAAATGTTATTTCAAATGCGCAAAAATTGTTTTTGTTGTTTTTACTTAAACCGTAGCCTAACTTGATAAAAAAGCATAACACTAAAAATTTATAGCAATTTATTGTGCCAGTTTTGTTTGTTAAAAAACTCTAATTCTGTTAAATTACATACATACACATACATATACGTATGTATGTTTGTATGCATATGAATTTTGTTGAAACCCCTTTTCTAAGGTCATTACAAAGATTCATTACTAAATATTAAATATTTTCAACTTACATACTATACACACACTGTAAATGTAGTAGTGACGCTTGTGTTCCCCAAGTTCCGACATACAAAATCATATACACGTACACATACAAAAAATTAATTAAAAAAAAAAAGAATATATGCTACCTCATCTCGACGAACAAAAAGCACATGCAAAAACAAAAAAAAATCATTAAAAAATCATAAAAACTATTTATTCAAATATACATATATATATATATATAGAGTATGTATGTACAGATGTGTGGCAATATGTGCAGATAGTAATGCTAGTGAATAATCAGCTAAGGATTTAGCTTACAGCGTAAGCGAGAGCTGAGTTTCATCTAAAAGTGAAATGCATTACACCACCACACACACACACACACGCTCACCTGTATATATGTATGTATGCATGTATGTGTATTGCAATTACTTGCATTAAATAAACAGAGTATTTACTAATTGAAGCAATTACATGCGTGCTTAAGTAATCGTATAAAAAATGTTCATCCCAATTCAACTTTACAACGCTACCTTGACCAAAAACAAAACAACAAAAAAACACAAACAAATTAAATAACTAAAACTAATAAAAAATAAATAATAACAAATAAAAATAAACAAAATAAATTAATTAACAAATAAAAATAAATAAATAAATATTTTTCGTAATTAATTGATCGCCAAAGATTCTTGCATATGGCATTCTCAAATAATTAAATATATAATTATATAAAACAAACGCGTTTCATTGCATAATATGAGCACAAAAGTCCTTTCCCTTTCGTATTAATACATGCAACTTTTTTATTTTTTTATTTATTTAGTATTAACTCGTCCTTTTAACTTTTGAATTCCTTTATTACTTTGTTTTCTATTTAATTTCGATTTCATTAAAATTTTTTTTAGGTTTCATAATGAATTAAATATGAGCACAAAAGTCGTTTCCCTTTAGTATTAATATATGAAAATAATTTTTTTTTATTTGGTATGAACTCGATATTTTCACCTTTAAATTCCTCCATCCCTTTCTTATTTTCGATTAATTTTAATTTATTTACTTAATAATTTTTTTTTTGTTGTTTCATCAATTTATCTAATTTTTTTTATATATTTTTTTTATTATTTTTTTTTGTATTTTTTTTTTAATTAATTTTTTATTTGATTTTTTATTTGTTTTTTTATTTGTTTTATTTTTTTATTATAATGCTTTACTTTTTTATTACTTGTAAAGATTCTGAATTATGATACGCCTTTTTCAAAAAAAAAAATAAAAAACAATATAAAAGTCCGCAACACAAAGTCTTTCTTTAAATATTCTTTAAAAGAACGTTAAATTAAATTTTCCATTACTCTTTTTCCCGTAATCTGTTTAATTTGAGCGGTTCATTCAATACATTGCGGTTGTTTCATGATCTATTGTATATATTTAAGTTATTGAGCCGAGACCATAAAGAACATACTTGTTATAACGGCATTTAAGAGATTATATCCAATTGCAAGCAACAAAAAAAGCGTTTTTGTAAATTTTTTTCATTAAATAATTTTGGAAAATTTTATAGTGCCTACGGGTTCGATCTTTAGGAGGGTCTTGGAAAAAACGTGTTTGGCGATGAGGAATTATTATCTGAAATCCAAAAACCTCAAAATCTTATTATTACTATAGATGAATACTGGCAATGATCTAAGGACTAGTAAAAATTTGAATTTTTAATTTGCCAAAATGGCGACCTAAAAGAAAACTATTTTTTTGTGAAAAAATGTATACTTCAAAGTGACTGAAAAAATCGGCATTATTATCAAAAATGTTTATACCCTCGATTATTAGCTGACATATAATATACCTATATCTAAAGAGCTCGTGTGTCAATCGGTCCAGCTGTTACGGAGTAATTGCTCTTACCGACTCTGAAAATAGCGTTTCGAGAAAAAACGCTTTTAAAGTTTTGGTAGCCGATTACACTAAGAAGATGCTCATTTGTCAGAATCGATGATATCGGACCATGCGGCCATATGACTGCTTTGTAAACTAAACGTGTGAAATCTAGTGCTGGTATGGAAAGCTTATTCATTTGACGAGATAACTTCAAGAAATTTGCCATGGGTTATTGTTTAGGGCAATAAGGCAATCTCCGCAGAAATTGTTCAGATCAGACAACAATAACATATAGCTATCATACAAACTGACCGATCAAACTCAAGTCCTTATGGGGAAAACTTTTTTATTTGACAAGGTATCGTCCCGAAATTTGGCACATATTATTAAATCTAAGAATATTGCTTAGATCGGACTACAATAGCATATATTACACATAGCTGCCATGTAAATTGACCAAGCAAAATCCAGAGACTCGGTGCAACGCAGTTTACGTTGTTGCTTGCTTCTCTTTTTACAAATTTTAATTTTTGTATAAAATTTTTTAAACTAATTTGATTTTTTATTTTTACTTTTTAAGTGTTTTATTTTCTTTAATATTTTACACAAATGTTTTTTTTTTTTACTTTTTATAGTTTATTATATCTGTTCCCACAATCCCCCCAATCTTGATTCCTCGATTCCTTCACGCCTTAAAGGTACCTGTTTTGCAGCAATATTAAAATTACCATTAAACTTATAATAAACCAAGCTATAAAGCTTACAAATACACAAAAGAGTAAAAGTAAAGAAGCTAATATTATTAAAGTTGAATGTATAAAAAACAGTTGGCTGGAGACAAGCGAATGTCAAGCAATTTGAAGACGCCACTCGGCATGTCGGCACAGACGTACCTAAAGAAATGTGTAGCAAACAACAACAACAACTAACAAACAATGGGTTTTCAAAAACGAATTATTAAAATAATATACATACATATATATAAATCTGTACTATATATTGCATATGAAAAAACCTAAAAATTCACAGAGCAACCATGCAACCACTCACTCGCAAATCGTTGCTGCAAATCAAACACACACACATTACCGATCTTCAAGCACAAGCTCATAAACAGTGTTAAAGCGATGTCCAGTCAACTGTCAAAGTCGTGTAGCCGAGTTGCTCGCTCATTTCCATGTGACAGCAGAGTTGGTCAGCTCTTTAACACTGCTTATAATTTAATCTCACGCAACTGCTTGCCATAAACCTCAGAGAAATGGAGTTAAAAAAAACTTTTTTTGCGCATATTTTCACTGCCAGTAGTAAAACAAAAAATATATTATAGCAAATTATTACGATAAAACAGCAGGAAAATTCACACTTACGCTCAGCTTCAATAAATACAAATACAAATATGTATATGGAAAAAATACTCAAAATATCTACCACTATACTGCTATATATATATTATATTATATTTTGTAGTTGATTTGCAAACAAGTGCAATAAAAAGATTTAACATTTATGCAAAAATACATTTGAAAAATTGTTGAAATTTTAAGCGAAATTTCTCAAGTTCACTTATACACACAACAATCTACATATATAAGTGTACTATACTTGTATATGCATATATTACTTAGTGGACGCAGTCAAAAATCAATTCAAAAATTAAATTACGTTACAAAAAGCATACAATAAACTCAAACGCCAAGCTCTTACATAATTATAATAATTATTACAAAAAAATAATATGTTGAAGCAACAACAAAAACGCAATACATACATAGCAGCAACTACAGTGAAACCTTAAATTCTACGCACATTTGTGAAAACAGTATAAAACTGAAATATGCATTTCAATTGTAAACAAAACAAAGAAGAAAAACTGGAAAAAAAATATTACAACCAAAATAATAGCAACAATTAAGCATATAAATTTGACATATGTTGCAGTAAATACGTAATTTTAAATTTTTCAAATTTATAAAACGATAGCAAAAAAACAATATATAGATAAATATGTAATACATATTAACGAATAAGTTTCAAAAATACTTGCGAAAATGCTTGCATGCAAAGCAGACAAAAAAAAATACATTAAAATGCATACTTGCGTGCAGCAGTGCAAACACACAACAATCGATAATGAACTACGACCATAAAATTTAATATTACAAAAACAAAAACAAATGCCGTAAAAGTGTTGTACTATTAAATGCATTTTACAATTTAGCATTGAGTATGTGAAGTAAATTATTTCGATGCAAAAACCAACAAAAAGAAAAAACAAAATCAAGAAATTACGAAAAATGCTACACTGCCACAAACCAATTTATGTAATTTGTGTTTTAACGTAGACTGTTTCTTTGGTTTAAACATTTTGTAGTGTGAAAAGTGGCGATTCATGTGAAGGCGCTTGAGCGCTTCAAAACATTATTACACTGTTTTTAATGAAAGCAAAATTTCGCTATTCTTATACATAATTATGCCAAACGGTTGTAGACATCTTCACAACAAATATTAGACAAGAAAGTTCTTTGCATTAAATAGCCATTTAACGATTTATGTCAAACGTTTTTGCGATTTCTTAGCAAGTGGCGTAATTTGTCTACTGTAAGTGAAGCTAACAGCTGTTAAATACAAAGAAAACGAAATACATAAAAAACTCAAAATTTTTCATTAAAACATCCAAAGCTGTCGTAACGAATTCTTCCATTTTAGACATTTTCATAATTCCTTAAGAAAAATCGCAGAAAATATTTCAAGCACCAACATCAGTTTTTAAATTCATTTTAATTCATTTTTAAATGCGTTTTTTTCTCAAAATTGTATTTTTCAAATTTGCTTCAGTGATTATGTATCTATGACTTGTAGTGTTTCTTTACCTTGCTTTAATTCTTTGTACTAAACAGCGGCCAATCCAGAATTTATTTCTTGAGTTTACCTTACAAGGTATTTTTAATATTTATATTACAACGTAAATTCTTTGGAATTTGAATTAAAATCTTCGTTTTTGGGATCCAACACTTGGACTAAAAAACAGGTGACAAGCTTTTACGCACCATCCGGCCACCTCTAACCAAAAAAATTATTCAAATCGCCCAAACAATTATTTTTCAAATATGACAACTTGAAGCTTTAGACGCTAAAGCCAAAAAAACAGGGTTGCCACAAAAAAGAGCACAACTTGCGAACTCCCAAAATGTAATTTAAAATATTTTTCTGCATACTGTCGGCAAAATTTTTTATTATTGAACTAAAATTAATTTCAGTAAAAACAAATTTTTTTTTTCTAAAGCTTAAAGTAATTCTTTTCATGCAAAAAATAATTTTTTTTTAACTTTCTTTTCTTCTGAAGCTTAAAATATCTATTTTCATGCCAGAAAAAATTTTTTTTCTTATTTTTCCAAAGCTTAAAGTAATTCTTTTCATGCAAATAAAAATAAATTAATTTTTCGAAAGCTTAAAGTAATTATTTTCATGCGATTTAACCGTACATTTAAAAAAAATGAAATGAAGATTTGCATTATATGCACAGAAAACAAGCAGAATCGGCAATAAACTGCGCAAAATCACACAATACATACAAAATCATATATTCAGAACGCAACACGTAAGATTTAAAGAAAAAATAGTTAAAAAACAATATATCATTATTAACTTATATAGCTGTACTGAATTAATTTTGAATTTTTATCTGCAATAATTATGGCTATAACGGTAAAAGACAGTCTATAATTCGTTATGCTGAGTGGAAATAGTGCTGCGACAGGTAATATTAATGAATATAGAAATAGAATAGTTTGCGTGTACGTTTACAATTGGCAGGTACTGTACATAGCCAACAAGAGCTTCTCGTACAAAAGTAAGAAATGTACAAATGAAATGCAGAACGTAAGAAACGACTTACCTACATACTTGAAATATGGAAAAAATTAATGAAAGGTGCATAGAAAGTTAATATATAGTAAGTCATGCATATATATAATCTACACAAAAGTTGAAATGTGTGTACCATTTTGTTGTTTGTAATCGAAAGGTGCGCAGAAGAAGTAATGAGTATAAATACTATTTGAGATATGTAAAAGAGAGAGAGAGGCTGGAGTTTTGTAGCGGAGACAAATAGTATATGACAATTGATGTTTGTATGGAGACTTTTATTAACGACTGTTAAAAGATAAGTGTTTGCATAGAGCTAAGGAAAACTGCGAAAAATTTGAAAAGTAAAGTTGAAAACTTTTTTTTTTCAAATTACAGCAATTATGCATTAAAAAAATAAAAAATAAAGTCAAAAAAAAAATTAAATAAAAAATCAGCTAAAATTTTCCTTAGCCACTAAGTTTTGTAAAATTAAAAAAAATTGCATGTCTGATAATATGTATGTATGTGAACGGGTCTTAAAGCATTTTATACTGCAGCGCATAAAACAGGCGATCATTTGCAAAAAAATATGTAAAATACAAGATTTATGAGTATTTCGAACACACAGCATACATACTTACATACACGCGTAGCATAAGTTTAAAGCATAGTAAAATAAAAGATTGACTAATCATAACAACAACAAAAACAAAAACATCTAAAATAAAGCATAAAAAGTGTTATAGAACGTAGTAAGTACACTAATGAACATATATTATTGTAGAAAAAAAGCAGAAAAAGAAAACCTCTTACTTGATCTTTGATCTAAACACACATACATATATATATATATATAAATATATTCAGACTTTCGTATAAACCGATAATATACATACGTATATATACACACATGAAAATATATATTTCACAGAAAAGTATATATACATAATATATAAATATAAATATATATATATACATACATATATATATTCTGACTATTATTGTAATGACGACGATGGTGAAGATGATTTTTAAAGATCGCTCTTTATGATTATTATTAATATATAAATATTTAAAAAAATTAATATAATAAATTTAGTTTTAAATGTAAGTTGTATATAAAATAATAATAATAATAATAAAATATAATAGTAATAATGGTGAAATGCAATGTGAAAAACTGAAATAAAAATTAATAAGACAAAACCATATACATACAATATATGAGATATATTAAAGGTGAATTATGAAATAAAAAATATATATATATTTAAAATATGTTCAAACAAATTAAACAGTTTTGTTTATTTAATTCAGAAATTGATAAGATCGACAACTACAATACTATAGGTAAGTAAATGAGGAAAGCAATGTATTTGATTACTTCTCAGTTATTTGCATCATAAATGATTTTTTCTAACTGTCTTGAGTTCACTAAAACTAGGAGAGTAGCGAAACGAACAAGCACCTGCTATAGTAGATCAGCGTAGATAATTTTTGAAAGAAAAAAAAATCATATTAGATTGAATCACATTGGTAACGTAAGATAAAATAAAAAATATAATAAAATAAAAAAAAATTAACGGCTTATTTGAGGTCGGGCAGAGGCAGAAGAGCCGGTTGGTTTAATTTTAAAAGGTTAGAAAGTTTTTATCACGATTTCCGCCAAAACCACGAGTCCTATCGAAAAAAGTTTTACAGCAAAATTGTAGGTAATGAAAAGATCTACAACTTCCTTATATACACCTTCTTTACATAACCACAAAACTTATATGAAATATTAAAGTACCCAAGTTTGGTTTTTGTGTTTTTGTTATTTTTTCTTTCGTTTCCAATGAGTTTTAACCTACTATAAATTTCTTGCACGTTTAACCTTTATCAAAGCCTTCTGCACTGGTCTATAAATAAGAGAGACTGGTATATACAAATAGAGATAGATAGCAGACAAATATAGCAATTTAATTAGGTTCACAACTACTCTCTTACGTTGAATTAAACCGGATAACTTTTTATTTTTTTTTTTTTTGTGTGTTTAAACGTAAGTTTGCAGCATGAGCGCAAAAAAAGCGCGCGAGTGAGCAAAAACTGTTTAGCAAATTACAGTATAGTACAGGAAAAGAGAAATGAGATAAAGCTTTGAGGGGCTGTTTCCAGAGAACGTATATAAGTAGTAAATTTCAAAAAAAAAAAAATTGTTTATATATTGAACATAAATATATTTGTAAATATGCTTCGAAAATTTGATGTTGATCCGGCAAATAGTTTTGTGGTTATACGCGTATTTGGAAGGCTTTCTAACTGCAAGTAATCCGCTCCCAAAACTTTAAAAGCATTTTTGTGGAAACGCTGTTTTCAAAGTCGGTGTGGAAAATTTCTCTGAAACGGATCAATTCGAATCTTTCATCGGCTTAAATATCAAAAATTGTGCGCAATTATTTGGAATACTTTTCCAAATCAAAATTTACATAAAATACAACCATGCCTGAAAATCGAACAGCTGTTTTATGTTGTCATACTTATCGATAGCATTCGATAAACAAAACAATTGACTTCGAAAAGTGCACTGATATCACAACTTGCAAAACAATACAAAAGGCGAATAAACATTTTCAATAAATAAAAAATAACTTACAAAACAACATATAATGGTAATTGTGTGCTTATCAATTTTGTCACAAAATAAAACATCTTTGTTGGAATAATATCCAAATGAAATGAATAGTAGCAGAAGGACTTTACGAAAGTGCGCACTTGAGCTGGTATTATAGGAAAACCATTTGACCTAGAAATAAAACATAATTAGCTGCGACACAATGAGTTCTTTATTCAATAGTTTTAGCAAATTTTCCAGCAAGCGCGAAAATGCTATTAAAGAAGCGCTTATAAATACGCTGATAGAAAATTCACGTGAAATACAATATGAAGTAAAGCAGCGCGGGTGTGGTAAGTGCATTTATTTATGTATATGCGTAATATTTTACATGCATATATTAAATATATACCTTATTTAACAACTATAGAAAGTTTGGAGCTTTGCGAATCCACCAGCACGCTATGCACGACCTTGGAAGCAATTTTTCTGCATGGCCTTAAGGATTCGTTACTTTGGAATACGATAAATGTGATAGCAGGAGATGAAGAACGACGGCCAGAGCCAAGCTTTTGGGCACCTCTATTGATATTTATGCACAAGCAAGTTATCGAGCAGGTAAACATATTTGAAACAATTAGGTTTGTTGTTTTTTTTTATTTAATTTCTTCATTTTTTGTTTTTATTTTTTATTTTTTAAATTATTTTTTTTAATTTTCTTAATTTTATAAAATTCTTTTCCTTTAACTTTTTATTTATTTCTTTAATTATTTTATTAATTTTTTTAGGTTCAAACACTTTCGCAAATCACTAGCGAAATCGGCCAGTGTCGCGCTTGGATACGCCTCTCACTTAATGAATCTCTCTTTTCCGCTTATCTAAATAATATGCGCAAAGGCAATTCAGCGCTAAGCCCGTATTATAAAAAGTTTGCATTGCTCAAAGATAGTGATGGACTAGAAATGGCTGCGAAGACCATGGAAGGCATCGAAGCATTTGTACAGTTTAATTTGCCAGTAAATTCGAGCTTGCTCAACTATTGGCCTGATTATGCATTGCAATTGTCAGGGCTATGGACGCCACCGTTGAAATCATGTCCGGTAAAGTGAATCACTATTTAATTAATACTATTTATATATATAATTTAAGAAAATTATTTATTTTTATTCATATTGCAGATAAGTAGCGGCGTTGATATCGCCGACACACTCGACATTGAAGATGCTGAGGTAGCTGAAGCCGTTGTAATGTTGCCAACGCCACGCCCGATAAGCACGAGCGAAGCTTTTTCACAAAAGATTGAGAATTTACCCCTGCTACAATCGCCGAGCGCTGCAGAAATTGCCTCACAACGCGAAAGTGTCGACATACTGTTGAAAACTGTCGATGAAATGCAAATGATAAGCGAAGAAAGTACCGAAGAAGCCGCAAATCAAAGTCAAACAGGCGACAAAAATACGCCAGAAGATAACGAGTATGCATTAAAAGGTCACAAATCAAAGAAGAAACGTAAAAAATCAAGGGAACTTGCTGAAGCGCGCATACGCGACTATATAACCGGTGAAGCTGGCTATAAAACGGAGCCAACCTCGCCCATAACGCCTGGTAACTCGCTACAGAATTTAATGCACACATCGTGGTCGGGTGATGAATCTTCGGTGTCCGAATTGACTACACCAATCTTGGAGCGGCCCTTATATAGACGTGCTTCGAGTAATGCCAGTACGCTCAGCTACAATACTTTGTTGGGCAAGCATGAACGCGAAAAGCTACAAATACAAATTAAACATAATGCTTTGACCGTGGAGCGCACATATGTGACACATGCAGATGGTGAGGCTGCAACAGAGCATGAGGGTGAGAGCAATGGCAGTGATTCAAATGATAGTCGTGTAAGTTTGACATTAAGTTATGCGCATATTACCACTTTTTAACAATTACTTGTATATTGAATTTTAGTTGACCTTAGACTTCGAAGTGGTGCCCAATTCTAAATTGGATCGCATGAATGTCAGCGAAATACAAGAAATGCTGGAACAGATGTACAAGCTGGCGCGGCAACCCGGTTTGGACGCGCAGGGATTTCTCTGCAAATCATGCCAACATCCTTTGGGTATTGGTTACACGAACTTTCAGTGCGTTTCTTCAACAAAAAATTTTGCTTACAAATATATTTTAATTGTTTGGCTTTTATTTTTGCAGAGTTTGCGGTTTCAGTGGCAATTACTTTTGTGATAACTGCATGGACATGGAGCAGTTGATGATACCAGCAAAAATCATCTACAATTGGGACTTTCGAAAGTATGCAGTATCGAAGCGTGCTGCACTTTTCTTAACCGAGTTTCGTAATCAGCCGGTTATTGATTTGGAGGTAAGATATGCGCTCTAAAACGTCGTAGATCCTAAAAAATATATTTTTTTTTGAGATTTCGATCTGAAATTTTGCACACGTTCTTTTCTTCGCAAGCAGCTGCTTATTTGGTAGAATTGCCGATATCGGTTGACTATAGCATATAGCTGCCATACAAAATGTTCAAACGAAATCAGGTCTTTATATGAAAAACTTTTTTATTTGACGAGATATATACACGAAATTTAACATGAATTATTCTACAAAGTAACACTATAATCTCCGAACATATTGTTCAGATCGGACCACTATAGCACATAGTTGCCATACAAATTGACCGAACAATAACAAGTTCTTATATGAAAACATTTTTTGTTTGACGAGATATATTAACGAAATTTGTCATGAATTAGTGTCCAAGACAGCGCTACAATTTCCGAAATAACTGTTCAGATAGGACCATTATAGCATATATCTGTCCTACAAATTGATCAATCAAAATCAAGTACTTGTTTGGAAAACTCTTTTGTTTGATGAGATATGTTCTCAAAACTCGGCCAGGAACATTATTCAAGACAACGCTGTAATTCCTTATGTCATAAGAAATGTACCTGTGGAGGGTATTAATGTTTTGTCCTGTTTTTCATAAAAACTATAATTTACAGCTTTTGAACCCTGAAATTTATAACGCCTACGACGCCATGTCCGACCTGCAATCCTTGCGCATACGTTTGAATTTTCTACGCGCCTACCTATACACCTGTGAGCCGAAAAGTATACAACTACTACAATTGCAATTCTATGGACGTGAATATCTCTACGAGCATATACATTTATATTCCGTAAGCGATTTGCATTTAATATTGCGTGGCACACTCTATCAACAACTGCAAAAGGCATACAAAATAGGCGAAGGACATGTTTTGAAGTGTCCCTTGTGCAGCGTCAAAGGTTTCATTTGTGAAATTTGCAAGAGTTCACGCGTATTATATCCATTTCACATTGAAACTACATACAGGGTGAGTTGTTGTGATCATTATAACTAATTACAGTTATATTTTAGAATTTTAGCATGCTTTACAAAAAATTCTTTTGCTAATTTATTTTTGCAGTGCGAAATTTGTGGCGCCGTCTTTCATGCGCAATGCCTCAACGAGCAGCAGCCATGCCCGAAATGTGAACGCAGGCGTAAAAGAGAGGAGTTGGATTTAGAAGAAGCAAATTTTGCTGGAAATGCACAAAGTTTGTCTGCAGCAACAACTGAAAACGCTGAAGCTGTGGGCGAAGTGGGTGAAGTGCAGGCAATGCACTAGATCTACAACAACAACATCTATTGTATGTTCTAAAATATTTTAGGTATATACATACATAATTAGTTAAGTGTGTGTGTGTAAAAGCGCAATTAATAAAGTATGTGTAAAGGCGTAGCAAAGCAAACGTGCGCATCTCTTTACTATCTTTACTAAGCTCATGTTAAAGTATTTATATTCAAAGTACATATATGTACATACATATGTACATATGCTCACTAATTAGCTTAATTAATTATATGTTTAATTTTATTAAGCTGATTTAACACAGCCATATAAATTACAACTAAAGAATTTACACCCTGCTACAAAATCTACTCAATATCTTTAATGTATATATGTATGCAAGTATGTATAATTTAATAAAACAAAAACACATAGTATACAAAATATCCACTAAAAGTTGTATAACAAACGCACGCTTTTTGTGGCACTCAAGCAATTACTTTTTATTGAGCGGTTACATCCGTTTTTAACAATTTCTTCGGAGATTGCATCATTGCCTTAGATAATAATCCATGTGAAATTTCGTGAGGATATCTCGTCAAATGTAGAAGCTTTCCATATAAGCACTTAATTCCAATCTTTCAGTTTGTATGGCAGCTATATGCTATAATGGTCCGATATTGGCCTTTCTGACAAATGAGCAGCTTTTTGGTGAGAAAAGGGCGCATGTAAAATTTCAGATCGATATCTCAAAAACTGATGGACTAGTACGCATATATACAGCCAGACGGACGGACAGACGGATATGGCTAATTCGGCTCAGCACGTCACTCTGATCATTTTATATATATATATATATATATATATATGCTTTACAATAGTATATATATATTAGGGTGGAGCGAAAAAAATAATTTTTTAGATGTTAATATTTTTTCCAAAAATTTTTTTTATAAGCTACAAATTTTACCCTCAGCCTAACCAAAAAAAAATTTTTTTACGCTCCACCCTAATATATATGTACTTTATAGGGCGATTGTAGAAGTAAATTTTTTTGGTTTTAAATTTGCAATAATTTTAAGCAGCAAAATCTTGCTCACCGCCGCAACACTCATTTCGGAGATCCTGTTGTTGTTGTTGTAGCGGCAGAATTTTGCCAAGTTGACAGCGCTTGGCCGTATAAAATCCGGGTCTGTTTCGGTTAAGTAGACTCGACTGTCATGGCAACGGTTTTCGCAGTTCTTTAGTGCGGCTTCGAGATGAAGGAAAACCAAAATTTTTCAAAATTAGCCAACGCTTACTAAATTACATTAAATTTTGTAAATTTAAATTTATTCTTTTAAATAAAATGCCACTTCACAAAAAATGCATTTGTTCTGACTTGCAAGTGGCTACAACAGCTAATATTACATAACTAGCAAATTTATTAAACAATAGTAAATGCTATACATTGTTGTTATTAACAAATAAAGCTTGAGTTTTCACATTTTTCTTTTTGCAATATTTCTTTGTTATAATTTCGATTTTAGCGGTTTGCGCGCTAGCAACTCGTTTTTCAGCAGCTGTAGCACATCTTCAGCGCAACCCCAAGCCAAGGTGACACCGCTGCCGCCATGTCCATAATTGTGTATGACAATTTTTTTGCCTTTTAATGTAGAAAAATAAAATGAAATCCTAATTTTCAATAATATTCTTAGTTTTTAATATATTTACCGCCTTGCTCTGCCTCCAAACGCAGCGCATCACGTCCGGGTCGTAGCCCCACCCAATCGTACAGCTGTTGCGCATGCTCAAGACTGGGCAAAATTTTTCGACAGCCATTAACAATGAATGCCTTGTCATTCGGACATACTTTAGTGTTGCTGTCGTCTACCTGGTGTGTGCCACCCAAAACGACTGTTTCACAACTGTAATTTAGCTTTGAGGTTAGTTTTAGCTAATTCAAGTATTTTAAAATAAGTTTTGTAGATAATTTGTTTTGCGCATGTTTTTTACATTTTTCATTTCAATATTTCAAACTTAAACTTAGTTTTGAGTTTGGGTTTTTTAAATTCTAAATTTAATTTTGAGAGTTTTGAGTTTAGCATGCATTTTGCTTTGATGCTTTGATTAAAATTATTTTAAATTTATGTTTCAGGTTAGTTTTGTTATTTTTTAATTTTAATATTTTCAAATCGGGTGTCGAGTGAGTTTTTTATTTTTTTAAATTTTTGTTATTTAATTATTAGGTTTGAGGTTAGTTTTTTTATTTTTTATTTAAATTTTTTAAATTTGTTTGCGTTTAAGTTTCTTTTTTTCAATTTCGATATTTTATATTTACGTTTGAGGTTAGTTTTATCTAATTTTAAATTCAGTTTGGCAGATAATTTGTTTCGTGTTTGCCTTTATCATTTTTAATTTTAATATTTTAAACAAAGTTTTGAGTTTTTATTTTTTTATTTTAGTTTATATTGAAATTTCAATATTTTAAAAACTTAAAAATTAATTTTAAGTTTAGATTTGCTATTTTTTAATTTAAATAAATATTTTAAAATTAGTTTTCAAAATTTAAAATCTTCTCTTAAAGTTCAATTCAAATTTTAAAAATTACAAAAAGTTTTTAGTTTTTTTTGCTTTTGCTTAGTAATTAAAAAACACAAAATCTCTTTTCTACTCACTTTGGTATAATATAATTGCCATCGTCGCTCTCATCCAGCAGCGCATAATACAACCAATTTGCTTTGACGCGCGAAACTTGTCCACGTACCGGAAACATACCGTTATCTTTTACGCACTCACGCGAACCCAGCCCCGAGCAGTTAATAATAGCATCGTAATCGCAGTTCGTTATGAACTCCTCCAAATTGACGATCTTTTGTTGCACAATTTTGCCGCCATTCGCTTGGAAACGCTTCATTAAGTAAGGTAGCAGCTTAATCGGCTCAGAGGTATATGTAATGAAATGTATGCCATCGCTGGAAAAAGTTAGATATCAAATAATCGATTTCACATATACTATATCGAAATCGATAAACATTTTTTCTACAGTTACATCCCTCCATGACCACCTGCCACATACTTCATTTTTATATGCATCTTTATGGTTCGTACTCACCCTTTCCAATTTCCACCTGACCACATTTTGCTGTACATATTTCAAAGTTTCATTAATGGCTTGATTACTTTACTTACGTATATTTTTTTGTTCTTCCTATATTCAGCTCATTCAATTGTTTTTGTGTAAGTCGACGACAACCATAAACAATATCCTTCCAGAAAACATTATTATCCATTGTGGTTGTGGTTACCCTTAGGCATGGTATAAGGCAGACACCTGCCTCGCCAGCATCCTCAGACAACCAGATTTGCTCGAGAAAGTCATGCATGTGTTTTGACCAGCGACTGCAATTAAAGCGAGAGAGAGAGAGAGAGCGGTATATGTATTTAGCGCATAAAGATACTGCAGCGGCTCATAGAAGTGGCGGAAGTGGTCTGTGTTCGAGTAAAAACTACTTTTAATAATCAAATATTGATCGAAAGAGCTACTTAGACAAAACCGTAATAAGTTTATAGGTATAACATGTTGAAATGACGTTCGCATCGCCTTATGACGTAATCTATTTATCTGATCAGTTTCGGTGAGGAGAGGTTTGCATAAGAGAGCTAGGGTTACCGATTTAAGAAGCCTTTTCTTTTTAACATTTATAATTTTACTTTATTTTTGCCAATTCATACAGACTTTCGTAATATAACATCATTAGAACGCTTTGAGCGAGTTGTTTCGAGTATCTACAAAGTGTCTTATCTACAATATGTTATATGTACCAGAAATATTCATATAAGTTTGTTGGTTCATAAATTATATTATATATTAGAGTTCTTGGTATTCGACTAACCGATTTAACCGAACAAGGCATTATTCGAATACATAATATAATTCGGCTTATCGTATTCGTATAGTCGTTAATCGTCGCCTATTCGATTAATCGCTCATTTTCGCCTAACCGGTCAACCGTTCGTTATCGACTATTCATTGATTTTCTTATTTTTATTGATCTTTATTTTTATTGGCTTTCAAACAATGTTACGACTATTCGAATAGTATTATTCGGTTAATATTCATACGAACGGTTACATACCGGTTATTCAAATAATTTTAAGAGCCCTATTATATATGTATACATATATGCACATATATTTTTTATTTTGCTGTAATATATATTTCTCAACTCACTGTACACGCGCTGTGGGAGTGCCGCCCAACAAATAAGGACCCCACAGACCAGCTGAGCCATCGCCGGTGGTATTCGGTGAGAAAGCCTCAGAGAGCACTGTTACTTTCACGGCTGAGCCGATGGATTTCAAATACTCCAAGATCTGCACAGCCGAAGTGATGCCGCTTACGCCGCCACCAATAACCGCGATACGCATTACCGCACAACTGCTTTAACGGGTCTGAATTGTGCACTTAACGACGGTGATCGTTGTACTAAATTATCGGTCCTTTGGTGTAAAGTGATAGACGCTATAATCTGCAATTAATTTAGCAAGTACTTATATTGACAGCAGAGCACTTGTAATCTGTTGAAATATGAAATATAGGTATGTGTGTGTGTGGGTATGTATTGAGATAATTATTGTTTGTGTGTTTTATATTTCCAAACAAACTCTCCGGCTTATCAGTTGTCTATTTGATGAAAAGTTTTTGATTCGATTGGTGCTTTATGCAATTCATGATTAAAATTTACATAAAGGTTGCCTTTTTAGACGCGGGGTTTTCAATGTGGCAATACAAGACAGACAACTGTTACTTGATTTTTACCCAGTTTAGTTTGCCTTTTCATCATGAGCAACATACTCCGGTACAAAATTTACAAATCGTGAAAATTAATTACCAAAATAATGGTTCAATTCGGGCGACGCAACTCATAACATTATATTATACGCGTTTTATTGCTTCTTGAAACCACATGCCTAAAAAACACCCTTTATTGATGTGTAAGGAAAGGGTTTTCTATTTCTACATACAAAATTACACAATGTCAAAATTTCCTATAAATAGTACACCCCCATATTCATAAATCGCCACGAGTGTAAGTTTATCTGATTATTTTCTCACCTAAGTATATATTTAAACCTCAAAGTTATTTAATTTATTCCTTAGAGGGCGCTCGTTAGCAGTGATAATATTTAGCACATTCCGAAAACAGCACAGGGTGTACCAACTTGCAGGGTAACACCAAAGAATGTTAATATTAATTAATTATTTTATTAATTAATTTTAATTATTTTATTTTTAAATTTAATTATTTTAGTAATTTATATTAATTAATAATATATAAATTGAGATTATGGTAGTACTACCAGATTTATATGGTAACACTAACCAATGTATACGGTAGCCGTATCGGTCATTTAACCAGTGAATTCATTTTGAACAATACCCTAAATGCGCTAGCATACATATGTATATAAAATATAATATACATAGATTAAGGCACGTAAGAGTTTCGGTTTAAATTTGTCAATTCAGTCTTAAGAAACGCATAGAAACTTTAACCCAAATCTTTCGTAGCGCTCTCGCGCTTGCGATTAAACCTCCGGCCCTGCGGTCTTCTAACATGTTATTCAATCCTTTATTTTTGTTTTCTTTCGATTCATCAACAATTTTATTTGACCCGTAAAGCCAATATGAGCTTCACCCAATTTTTGCCTGACCTTTTTATTTTTTCTTAAAATAAATGTCCTTCACTAACCGACAAACATTATTTGGTAGGCTCTAGTAAATCTAAAACTAGGGAGGGCACAATAGACCATAGGTCGCGGTGCATACCTCAAAATTAATCTAAATCTAAAACTCTTTCTAGTGCGTTGCTTGTGCAAAAAGTTTTCCTTTTGAGAGAATTTACGTGGTCTTCATTTAGTAACATTGTCAGTTTAGTGCTATTTTTTTTATATACCGTGATCTGTTGATAAAGCTTTTTCATAAAAAATATGTTGTAAAAGGCTTGCGAGCTGTCTAAAAATGTATTATCAAACTAATTATAAGTCAAATTGAGTGAGCGTCCCATACCTATAAGTTTTATCATGACATAGTACCCGAGATGACAACTCTTAGTATATCCAAGTTAACGCCAAGCTATTTCCTGTTTAACTGTTGTTCACTAAATTCTTTTCAGTAGAAAGCTAGAAGCTACCGTACAACAAACGGAAGATGAAGGATTCTCTCCTTCTCACTGGTTTGCCACCTGGTTCAATAGCCAGAGCGCTGAGATCATCTCACACCAAACCCTCTTCGTCTCGAAACTTCTCAGCTCGCTATTATTCAGTTCTGCTTTCTTGGCAAATACTTAACGTTCGTCAGTGGACCGTGCCCTTTTTGAGATATCGATCTGAAATTTCGCACACGTCCTTTTGTTGACAAGAAGCTGCTCATCTGTCGGAGCTGCCGATATCAGACCACTATAGCATATAGCTGCCATACAAACTGACTGATCAAATAAAAGATAAAAATCTTTTTATACCGTTTAATGCTATAAAAAATGCACCTGTGTAGGGTAATATACATTCGGTGCAACCGCAGTTAACGTTTTTCATATTTTTATTTCTATTTAAATTTTTGTTTATTTATTTAAATTTATTTAAATCACTTACACAATAATATTCTGTTTTTCAACTTACTCGCAAATAAATACATATTAATTAATTGTTATTTAATATTATATATGTATATGTTTATATGCACTTATACACACACAGATTTTTCTGTCATTATATAATCTATTAAGTAATTACTATACAACTTTTAGGTATTTTTCTCGTACAACTGATATAATTACAGTTATTCATCTAATTAACAATAGTTACAGTTAAAAATATATCATACATACACACACATATATGTTTATTTGGTTGTTTTTTTATGGAAAATATTTATGTGGAAAAAAGTTATAAAATAACAGCTTACGTAACTGTATGTGTAAGTATGTATATTAGGGTGCGTCCAAAAAAAAATTAAATTTTTTTTTTTCGCTTGGTACTCTGAAAAATAGCTTCTTAGACACCGCTAAGCAAGTCTCTCTATTACCGCTGCGTTACAATTAACATGAAGGTCTACCGCCTTATAGTAAATTTCCTACGTAACTGTGAGTTTTGCAATTTAAAATTAATTTCTTTCATTGAGTTATAAAAATGAAAAGAAAAAAAATGTGCCTTAAAATGAAATGAAACTGCAACTGTTTATAAAACCGTAGTTTTACAAAAAAATCGTAAGCAACCATTTTGTAGAGCAATCAATTTTCAGGAAAATCTATGAAACGAGTTATTTTTCAATTAGTTTATAATTACTTGCTCAGTTTTGCTATATGATAGATAAGACAGATTGCAAATAAAATAAATTTAAAAAAAATGTTGCAAGCGATATTTGTATTTTTTTATCTGATAATAAGAAAAAATATTATATATATATTATATTTATATAAGGTTCCTTAGAAGAACTTGATTCCGATCGTTCAGCTTGTATGACAGCAATATGCTATAGTGATTCGATCTGAACAATTTCTTCGGAGATTTCATTATTGCCTTATATAATAATCGATGCCAAATTTCGTGAAGATATCTCGTCAAATGAAATAGTTTCCTTCTTGGTGTTACAAACTTCGTGGCAAACTTAATATACCCTGTTCAGGGTATAAATAGAAAACTGTAAGGCGATGGTGCCTCAGAACATGTCATATTTTTCAGTGTACCAAGCAAAAAAATATTGTTTTTTTTTTACCCACCCTAATGTATATACACTTATCGTACACATGCATATGTAATTTTTGGAACATGTGATGATAATTTTTATGTTGAAATTATGTATCAGGCTTAATTATTTGTCTACACTTATTCTATTTCATATCTCTTGTTTTATTTTACAGTTAATATACATACATACATACATATCGGTATAAAATTCTATAGTAATCACTGTATTTGTATTTGTATTTTATTTTTATGTTTTTGTTTTCATACATTGTTGTTGTTTTACCCTGTTTGCATTACTAAATATTATTTTGTTGTTATTTATATAATTATACAATTATATAATTAATTAATTATTAAAATTAATTAATAAATTAAAAGAAAATTATATAATTATTATTATATAAATACTAATTAATTATAATAATTAATTATTTATATAACATTTATTTATTAATTATATAATTTTCTTCTAATTCTTTCATATGTATTTGTTGTATTTAAATGCCCATACATAAAAACACACAATTTAATGTCCTTTCGTGGTAATACTAATATTTCTATATACTAACTTCTAATTATATAGATTATACATATATAATTTTATATACTGTATTTATGCACATTTTTGCACATTTTTGCACACTACTTTTTCTACTCTTATGAACCTGTTTCAAATTTGAAGTTATAAATTCTGTTGTCCTTTGTATGTATGTTTGGTTGTTTAATGTTTTTTGTTTTGTAATTCTAAAAACGTTGAAGTTTTTGTTTTTGTACATTTGGGTTTTTATTTTGAGCGTATACAAAAATGTTATTTAGTCCACGGTTTTTTATTTTATTTTAATAGATCTTTCAGGTTTTTGAAATTACTTGCTATAGAAAAAATGAAAACTGATAGATAGCTATGAGACTAAGATAGATATATGTATAAGTTAAGATACTTAGTAAAGCAAATATTCAGTCATTTTATATATGACATATAACATAAATATAAAAAAAAAAATATGTATAAATCTTAATAATATATTATTGATATTGGAATTATCAGGAAAAAGTGTTTCAGAAGTAAAAAATTTTAAGCGAAAAATAATGAGACAAGGACTTGCGACTTTACTTATTAAAAAATTTTTGAATAAGAAGTGACTTTTCAATTTTCAAAACCGATTTTGCGTTTAAATATTGTTTGGAATTAAAAATTGTAAAATAATATTTTTAACAAATTTAATTTTTAAATTGTAAAATAACAAATTTAAATTCTAAATGGTAAAATTAATTTTAATAAATTTAAAAATTAAATTGGTAATAATTAAATTGGAAAAATTAATTTTTATTCACAAAAACAGAATTAAAAATTTTTCAAATATTTTTAAAATTAAAAATTGAAGTAACACATATAGAAAAAATTATTTGAAAAGTTTTCACGAATTGGAAATATTGCTTGAAAAAAAGTTACATATTTTTAATTGAACCACTGTAATAAAAATTAAGTAAATATTGAAACTTTGTTAACAAATAAAAACTATAAGAAAACTTTTACAAAAATAACCAAAATAATAGCGCCGGAGGTGCGAAATTGAATCTAAAATTCCAAAACATATTTATTTTAATTTTTAATAATAAACTTTGTATAATTTTTTTTTGTATTTACCATTATAATTATTTTAATTTTGAATAATATTAGAAAATACAAAATTAAAACTTAATTTCCTAATTATTAATTTAATTGTCTTTTTAATGCAAAATTTGAAAACCTGTTGCTGAAAAACGTAAGAAGTTAATTATAAACTTGGAATACATTTTTTTTGGTATTTTAAAAACAGGTATTTTTGGGTATTTTGCTTCATTTAAAATTTCAAAATTTTTATTTTTTTTATTTTTTAAATTTTTTTAAACCGTTATTTTGTTTTAGAAATTTAAAAATTATTTTTTTTTAAGATTTTCGGGAATAAAAATAAAAAAAAAATTTAATTCTCAATTATTAATTTAATTGTCTTTTTAATGCATAATTTGTAATCCTGGTGCTGAAAAACCTATATAATTCCCATTTTGTCTAGATAAGCAAGAAACTAATTTAAATATAACTTTTTTAACTCAAATAATTTACTTAATAGCTTTGTAATTTATTTCAAAATAAAAGTTATTTGTGACGGAAAAAGATCTGTAATAAACGGAGTTAAGGGGGTGTTGTAGTGTAGAATTTCAAAAAAAAACTATTTTTTCATATTTTCAAATTTTAGCTACATTTTAAGAATATGTATACGTGAGGATTTTTGAAAATTTAAACTATTTTTGAAGATATTGATATAACAAAAACTGGTTCGGCTGGGTCTAATCGAATAAAAGACTTTACGCGAAACTTTAAAGGTGTTTTTCTCAGACCAGATTTTTTCAATACGATAACCACGATTTTTCAGAGAGCCTTTTTTATAGACCTTTCTCCTGTATGTTCTAGCCTCAAAATTGGAATACATTTTTTTTTTACTTTTATATTCCACGTCTCAAATGCACTGGAAATGTTGATAATTTTGGCAGCTCTTCGCAGAAAAAATGTAAACAAAGTGACTGACTTCAGTGAATAAGTTTAAGCGGCAATCGGACCGACGTAGGCAGCGTGGATTTGCATTTTTATACGCTCAAGGACTTTATCTCTTGAAATCGTTTGAAATTTTTTCCATTATATTTTCTCCAATACATTAATTTCTTTTAATTTGATTCTTAGTAATAGTAAGAAAAATGATTTCTGTACTCAGAGACTTGACAAAAATCATAAAATTAACGATTGAATTTGAATCAAGCTCTTTAAGCATTAGTTATGCTAGGTTAAGTACAATACTGTTTAGTAAATTTGTAGAAATAAGCATTATTTTTTTTTTAAATACGATATACGGGATTTTACTGAAAAATTTATTACAGCTTAAAAGCTTTTTACAAGCACTGAACATTGGTGGTAAAGTTTTTTTTGGAAACCGGGTTCATGTCAAAGATTTGGCATCAAATTTAGACGCAGAAAGACTCAGTATTAGGAAAGCTTTTGGGTTGGATCATACTGTTCATGTCATTAACATAGTCTAATGAATAAGTTGAAATAAAAATCGGCCTAAAAATATTTACAGTATGATGGAAATTGTAATTTAAGGTTTGTAGCTGGTAAATACACCTCTAGAATTTCGAAATATGAATTGATATAGCAGAATTGAAAACTGAAATATAAAACTTGAGTTTTTATATAGATACATATAAAAAAAAAAAAAAATATATATATACATAAGTATGTTAAAATATTAAAATTACGCAGAAGCTAATTTCTTTGTAAAATTGTTTTAAAGATATTGAAAAAATTAAAAAAAAAAAAATTTAAAACTTGAAAAGCGCAATGAAAAAATAATCAAAAGTACATATTATATATGTGTAACAATTTTTACTGAATTGTTGTTATAGAATCTCATCTAGAACATGTTTTAATTTATTATACATATAAAAAATATTTTCTGTGGAGTTTCGTCATTTTGTTTTAGAAATAATATTTTACGAGTGATTTGTAAGCAATGCTGCAAAGTAAATTGGAATGGGTACGGAATAGAAAGTTCTTAAAGCGCATAACGCATTTAATTATGTACGTTCAAACATATTTTAGTAAAAACTAAAAGCTTTCTTTGTAATTTCTGTGAGCCTGATTGCAAAGCAATTCAAACAAGTTTTGTGTTAGAAAAATTGGCAACGTGTATCCACCGCATTAGCAATAACCATTTTTCTTGCTTGCTTACTTTCGTGTCTGTGTTTGAAATAGATAATTCTCAAACATATTTTAGTAAAAAATAAAACGTTTTTAACATCTGGGTGCGTGTTTGTATGAGAGAATTTTGCAAGTAAATTTTGTATTATCAAGAAATTTGGCAGCGTGTATCCACCGCTTAACTAAAATATATTCTATTCTTGTTTGCTCTCCCTCTCTCTCTCTCGCCTAAATTTTGTCCAACTGTGACTACTACGCTATTTTATAAACAACTTATAAGAATTTTTGTGTGCATTTCGAATATTTATTATGAGTTGCTACACTCAAAATTTTATTATGTCTCATGCGCTTATACAATAATATATATAATATTTATGTTTTGCTTTTTGTTTTTGTTTAAAAATTTTGGTACAATAATAATACTATAGCTTTTACAATAATCTCCAACGGCAACTTAATTAATGTTGTTTAATGATTTTTCTACTACAGCCAAACGGTAAATGTTCAGCTGCAATATTTATTTTTAGTTTTTTTAATTTTTTGCTTACTGTTATGTTTATACTAGTGCTGTTAAATAAATATTATATAATATTTACATAGATTGCCATAAAAAATGTTTAAAATTATTTTGATTATTTATGATGAATTGTGTAAAAGTGTTGAATTACAACATAAAATAATTTTAATAATAATTGCTGTATTAATATTTAATAGAATATACGCTAATTAATATGTAATAGTAGGAATTTATATTAAGCAATAAAATAATTATTAATTTAACGTAATAGTTTTGCTTTAAAAGCTTGTAAAAATTATTTGTATTTGTTATTAAGCATAAAATATTTTTATATTTAAAAGTTTCGCATATTTTTGGGAATATATATTTGCTACGCCATAGTAAAAATAGGAACTAAAAGCACCAAAAACTAAAATTGTTTATAAATAAACGCTGACAGTGGAGCAAAACAGCACGCAAAGCATTATTGGGGTAAATATTATATGAAATTTGAGCATGTAACATCGCAACAAATTTGATTCGGATTGCTCCATTTAAATAGTGCGCGCCAATCGAATAGATGAGCATTATAATATTAAAATTAATTTTTTTTGTCAGTCCGGGTCAAATTTGATCAGTTGATATAATCACG